TCATGACTGAGGGCTCCGCTAACCGCTACGCTTCGCATTGAATCCGATACCAGAATCGATGGTTATAGTCTTGCCGAATACAGAACGCTGCACCTTCGTATAAGGGAAGGCTTCTTCAATCTGCTGAATACAGTATGGTAGAGGGAGCGGAGACCATCAAGAACGTACCTCTGTTGTGGCGTCTGAACGCAGCGTCTCATCTAATGCGATGACATCCTTTACTAGTGCCTCAGTTTGCAGTCCTTTTGCACGGATTTCCTCTATTTTGCTAGATAATTGCGGAATCTGTTAACAGAGTATTCTAAAGCAATGAGAGCACCGAGCAGTTTAATAAGCACAGAACGACACATAGGAACACAAATACCGTACCCAGGAGCCTCCCATGAACCGCTGAGCTTCTCTCAGGATTTCCCTAAAAGCAGCTCGTTGAGCAAACTTCCCTTCTTGTTCGGCAGAACACATGCAAGCGCCGAAAACACGAGATGGTCAACAGATCATCGGTAATGCAGATGATTGCTGCTGTAGCCTCGGCAGTGTGAAGGCTCCCGAAGGAATCTCATATTTTGCTGTATGACGCGGCAGGACTGTAGTCACTCACATTAGGGTGCAATTTTCTGTGTGGAGCGAGAGGATTCGACCTCTGATTTCGGAATGATCCGGGGCTCGGCCCTTCAGCATTGCACACTTAGTGTCAATATCATGCAGTTCAGCGAGAAATGATGCCAGATACTGAAACATCAGCAATGAGTCACCTCTCAATGGTGCCGTCTCGTACGCCCTCAGCGCGCTCAATGTCCGCTTCTGCAGAGGCAGCCTTGTCCTCGGCGGCCTGTTCTTCAAGGGCAGCAGCGAGCCGCCAGGCAGCCTGATCTCGGCGGACCTTAGTCATTTCACTCCCTAATCGCCGTATGTCGGCCAGCTTGCTCTGTTTTTCTGGAGGATTTACGTTGGTCGCATGATTTTCGCGCTCCCGCGGCTACTCAATTTCAATGCATTAATCTCCTCTCTGATACATGCCTGTTCATCCTTGATCATTTTCACTCTCTCGTTCTCCCTCGTGCTCCTCGATTTGAGATTCCTAGCGAACCAGGTGAGGTCCGCCTAACAAACCATCATCATGATTTGCTGATCGGACTACTACTCTAAAATCGGAGATAATGTCTCGAAGTTCCATTAGCGTAGACATCTGACTATTCAGCTCATATAAGCATTGCTGAACCTGCTCCAGCTCCTAAGTTCGCTGAACTGTCAGTGATGTCATCACCACGCATCGTTGATGATCGATCAAGTCCCTGTTCTCCCGACCCATCAGGGTCCTCAGCGTACGTTCTTTAAGATTATTGAAGACTGAATACGCACTCACGGGTTTGTTTAGACCCAACCGAGAACTCACTCCTCTGTCTCGGTGTAGCTAACTCCCTCTGCAACGCCCGCTCTCCCCATTCGCGCAAATGATCCAGAAATCTACTGTCTATGTCCTGCATATGTCGATTAGTGTCATCACATGCACAACGTTCCTTCGCGGAGTTCAACAGAGACTCTTGCAGTTGCGCAAAGGCTTGATCTGAGGCGACCAAATACCCTTTGATTTACTCTGACGGGCCAGGCCCAAACTCGGGATGATACCATTTTTGACTGATCAATTTTATATGTATATACGCCAGCCCAATAGCTTGGTCACCTCGATCAGCTAACAACTCAGTCGCCTCAATTGGATGTACGACAGCCACTCCGGAGGTCTATGAGGATAAATCTAATTTCGATGACTTATCTCTGTCCTCGAAATACCCTAGTTGATTTGATGGAGATCATGAGTCGTATAAACTGCTCTTTATCGATCTTCGCTGCGCACGGTAATTTATACGAACCATGCATGTCTTCTCCTGAGGCGGCATCGAAAAAAGATTCCTCCTCGATTTACCTCAGGACATGTTCACTAGAATTTTGGGAGCTCACGATCTACGATAACTGATTGGAAAGCGACCCACGTTTCGCTTCCTCTTCAGACATTGCTTTCTTTTCAATTTGGACTTGCGACATCTAAGATCGGAGCACAGAAAAATGAGCGCTGCTTTCAACAGGGGATGTTCACCATTTCGATAAGCACTGGTTGGGTTATCTCATAGAAGGGGGCCTCTCCAACGCTGCGGATCAGACACCCCAACTGAGGGGCGTTGAGACTTCCCGACTTGTCGATGTCGAAAAGATCGAAAAGTTCGTTCCATTTGCCAATCGTATCATCGTCGACCTTTGATCTGACTAGATCCGTTCAAAAAGGCAGGGCGATGGTCCTAACTGTTGGAGTGTGTCTTTCGTCACGCAATCATCTCTTGATTCAGCTACGGCGGCAGCGAGCCCCTGAATAGCTACTCTGATGAGAAAACGGTGGTTAAAATGCCAGTCTCACCACAGAGGGAGACTCTTGTGTTTGTAAGTTCTCTGAAGACATTCGCCAAGTGAAGAGAAGGAACTGAGAGCACTGAACCTAGACCTATACTCCTAGGCGGCATCCGCCTTGATGCTTAGGTGAACTTCCTCAGCAGTCACATGATGTCAAGTAGGAGTTACGCTTACAAGCTACATTAAGACGCCTTACGTTTGGTTTTTATCGAACGAACTCTCTGCGTGTAACTGGAGATTTCTGCAGCGTCTCAATTTCTAGCCCATCACTATGCACAATTCATACTCAGTGAAATATGGTCATTCTCGTGTGCGAGTATCGATTACCAGAAGAATACCTGCTCCATTGTAAACGCTGCTCAGATATCTACGACACCCGGTCACAAAGATTCGCGGTAACTCAATCGATGCTATTTAGGAGCTAAAGCTGAAACAAGTAAACTAGCAATGAGCTTTCTACGCCTCAACAGTGGTGAATACCTCAACTTCATATATTCATCGGATCGAAAAAGTATATCAACGAACTCTAACCCACGGTTGTATCTCAACATGTGTCTATCTCATTTATTTACAAGTTGTAGTCTACAACCTGGACCAATCGCAAATCATAGTTTACAGACTCTCTAATCTCGTTGTAGTTTTCAGAGAAAACTAGACCCTTCTTATGACTGCGAGCCAGGATCTGTCGATAGCCAATACGCCTCAGAAAATCATGTCTCTTCAAGAGAGATAATCTCATGTCTTGAATTAAGAATCTTTTTGACCTCACATGTACTTACCAAGCAAGACCCCATCCCCACTCCGCCCCGAGCCACTTACCTTTTAGCATGAACACTTGATATTTCCCAATACAAACAAGACAACTCGAGGAAAGCGAAATGTGTGTGGGAGAAAGGAGTAAGGAATACTTCAATAACGAATACAACAGCGGAAGATAACTAAGCCCGACGACGGACCCCGGCCTATCGAGAGCCACGGGTGAGATAAGACGACAAGCACCGACTTGAATCGATGAACACTAGAGCGATGCCCAACTGCGAGCTTCAACTCCAATGATCTCAATCTCACCCACGAGAAGCTCTACACCGGATTAGCTATCTACCACCACAACGAGAATCCACGAGGATTCTCAGGTTAAGGTATTACACCTCGAGACAAGGAAGCTAGAATTCATGTGGTCCATAATGATCATCACCCATGATCATCATAGCACGAACCTAGCAATCTCGCCTTAATGCGAATGCACTAATCTCGATACTAAATTACAGTAACTCCTATAGTTATACTGAAGCGAAGCAAGAAGTCTTCACAGCAAGCAATCCGCAGTATAGAACGCTATAAGGAATCACATAAATCTCTACGAGAGCCACCTACTGATACTGAGTCGTCTCTATGATGAACCATAGTTCGATACACAGAGACGACAAATGGTAATAACGTGCTCAAATTGGCGTGATCAAAACACCACCAGCACCGAAAGGTAGAGCAGACACTAGTGTCAGACTATACTACGGATCGGTCGGTTGAGTGAGAGCGAGCACGACATAACAATGAAAGGCGACGAGCACAATCAAAATATCTATTCCAGAGCTCTCCACTCGCGTTGTTATTCCTACCGAACCACAACGTGAGTGTTATACGAGAGATGGGATTGTTTGTATTGATGAGAATGATAATAAGGTGGCAGCAGTATAGTAACGATAACAATACATGAACTACTACCACCAGAATAACAACCTTATCATGATAAGATTTGAAGCCAGGGGCTCCATAGGAATAAGGAAAAGTTGTCCAGGACTTCCTCAGCCCTCAAACGATACAGTAGACACAGCTGAGAGGACAACACTGGCGATCTACTGGTGCTGATTACTGTGCAAGATGAGAGCACATCTCGGGTACGGCTGCAGGAGTTACAGTCTTGTAAACTGTGATACCCGAGGCGACCAGAGATAAGGCCATCAAGCAGATAAGGACAGTGCACTGGACACGACTCTTCCAGGTACCAAATTTACCACCACAACGGTCCATCACTTCACCGTCACCAAACTCCTTGTGTATCATATATCTCAGTCTCATGTAGAAGACTGGAGGGAATATCATTTGCAATAAACAATACGTAATGGCCGAGTTAAGATCAACCAAGAACGAGAACTTGGGCACTGTTATAGCGACAATCGCTGTTAATACAACAAGTATGCTACGCAAGGCACTCGTCGCAATCAGCGAAGGCCAGTAGCCCCACTTCTCAACGCGCTGTGATCCTTCACCCAACCCAAAGACATTTTCGATAGCTCTACACGAAGGGTGAAGAACTACCGCGTAATGGGTTGCACAAAGGACAACAATGCTAACAAATGAGATGTATCCCCAGACATCCTTGTTCATGGCATCTGAGACGTTATCATAACACAGCAAGCCTTGACCCCAACCAAGGTAAGATGGGACGGTAACGACGAGATAGACCGCAAATAAAACGACAGTAGCCCAAAGAAACACAATTGGACTGTGTGCCGGGTTCTTCATATCGTGAGTTACGGTTGGAGTACCGCAAGTCACGGAGAAGCAAAAAGAGAAGGTAGTGTATGCACCAATCAAAGTAAGAGGTTCTGGAACAGCCAGTTCGTAGTCAACGTTGTCGTGGTCCTGACCGAATTCGACGAAGCCTGCCACACAAAGGCCAATGATGGTAGTGATGATCGACACCACGCCAATGGTGCTGGAGATATAGCCGATCTCACGCATAGTCTTGAGCCAGTTGACAGGCAATAAGATGAACATCCATATTATGATCCACCAAGTTACACTGATACCGCTGTAAATATGGTAAGAATTCTGTCCAAGTAGTAAAATAAGGACACACGACGATCCAATAAGTGATACGTGAAGGGCAATAGCGACGATAATCTGCCCTATTCTGCCGCAGGTAAAGCGACCAATGTCTTCGTAACTGGCCATGGAATCGGCACCAAGCTCAAGGGCCATGACTCTACACCGATAGAGGAGGTAGATCATGAGGTAGCCGACGAAGCCGCAGAATATGAGAAGCAACAGTGCTGGTAGATACCCAACGCTAGCCGTCGTCTTCCCTAAAGCCAAAAGGGCAATGCCGACAGCAATCATGACCGTGTTGAAAACCGCTTGGAAATCGTTACTGCCAACGACAGGTTTCTCCTCGGAGACATCCGACTTCACATCACTGATGCAGGTAGATGTATCCAACGTCCGCGCAGGTCCACGACCCTTCAAATCCAATGAATCATAACTGGAAGATACCGTCGTTGTAGGACTGTCCATATTGATTGGGTGCATAAGAAAGCAACTGTAATTTGAATCGCTGTGACATAGCTACATCGCTCCGCTCAGTAATAATCTCGCTCGCCTTTAGCGAATAGGCGCAACTTCGTGTGACACTGTGTGGTGTGTGCGTCCCCACCAATTGACTTACTGGGATCGACGTCAGTTCAATCACAGTGGCAAGTCTTTGCGGTGACCGCTTCGTCGTGTGGTTGTACACTTGTGGGTAATCAGACTAAATCACCATTCCTCGCCAGCAATGCATCGCCCCTACTTTTTCCGAGGTCGCTAAATGGTATGCTTGAGTAACATGCATGGTCCCAGGGATAACGCTGGAGCAAAGTCGTACGACTGGAACCGAAATCCTAACCGTGTTTAGACACCCCAACCCGTAAGCCGGGGTGGTTTCACATATTCCATCTGCACTAGGGAAGATCTTATCCATACGCACCGGCAAGGATTCTCGAGAATATCTTACGGTTTCAGGAAAGCGCCGCGGATCCACGAGTGATGCAGTAATCGGTAGTGTGAACATTTCAGGTGTGAGGAGGGATGATTCCTAGAGTTGCAGTCCACGTTTGCGTCCCGTAGCACTGATCGTCGCACGTGTTATCGTTGATGAGTCAGTGGCTTCTACTCTCATCCAGCATGATCCAAGCTACGCCTCTCTTTATGGTTATCCCGGCTGTGCTTGGAGCAGTGCCGCGTAATTTGCAGGGGACCTCGACGAGTGCGACAACTAGTTCGACCCCATCGACTCCGACGTTGTTCACTGCTCCAGTGAATGTTGCAGTCCTGCAGAATACCTGTGATATCTACTGCCAGGGACTCAACGGAGGTGCTTCTTACTGTAAACTGGATTTGAGCCCACCCACTTGCCAAGGGGGTGATCAGCCTTGTGGCACTATTGCTATCTGCGGCCCTTCTGTAACGGTGACACCGACTGATGCGGTCCCCACTGGTGATGGAACGTATGAGCCAGCGTGTGACACTATGTGTCAGAGTCTCAACGATGAGGCTTCGTACTGCAAGTGGTGGCTCCCTCGCCCTACTTGTCTCGGTGGTGATCAGCCGTGTGGGGATCAAACTGTGTGCACCTCGCAGACGTGGCCTCCTGCCCCGACGCCGACACTTCCTTTCGAGGCCCACCCTTACGAGTCCGTCCCTTGCAATTCCTACTGTGTTGGTCTTAACGGACCATCCTCCTTCTGCAAGTGGTGGAAGAGTGAGCCCTCCTGCTACGGTGGGGATCAGTCCTGTGGCCCATCAGATTGCCCTACCGGCACCCCTGCCCCCACTGGAGGTCCTCCTGACTCTCATGCCGGCCCCAGTCCCAATTGTGACGCCTACTGTGCCGCTTCTAACACAGGTCTCTCCGGTGATCGCGTGTCGTACTGCAAGTGGTGGCTCTACGTACCGGTCTGCTATGACGGTGACCAGCCTTGTGGACCGAGTATCTGCAATAATTACGGCGACAGTACCATTGTGGCCTCTGTCACGACCGAGGTAACCAGTTCACAGGCATCCACTACCGAGAGCGTCACCTCCACACCTGTGACTACCACTGCGACCACCACCGCGTCACCCACTGTTTAGTTTAGTCATGATGACTGAGTCATCTTCCCGGATTGATCTCACAGAGTCTGGCCGGGATCTTCTCGCCTACTCCTATTCGCTAAGCTATGCCGTATATCTCTGGATTGTAGGCGATTCATCGTATATATGAAGCCAAGATGATCTGGTCTCTCATGCGGTCCAGGTCAACCCATGAGTCGCGCATGCCGTCTCGTGAAGTTACTTGTTGAGCTATTGTGTTCAGTCGGTCGTGAACATTACTCTTGCTTTTTGTAGTTCCCAGCGACCCGAGGAAATTCGAAGAGGTTGCCATTTCACCTCGTCTGAGCTTAAAGCCACCTGCTATAGGAATTGACGATATGTTATTGTAGTCTGTGGCAGTTGACATCTACCCTCGTGGGCTACATCAGCTGCGGGGTTGCGTTCAAAAGGGAGTTTTTAGTGGGTCTCGTTTCATACTGTCATGAATCATGGCGATAGAAACGTATCATCACTGATGGAACGTCCGAGTTGTCTTGTTAGTGTTCGTACCTTCAGGCATTCTCTTAGGCATTTTCCAATGTCCACAGAGGAAGGGCAGAGCTCCCGTGTTATCGTCAAGAACCTTCCAAAGTAGTAACTTCCTGAGGAGTAGCGCGAGTTGACGTTCGCTACTCGTCCTTCCATTGATGCGCGGATGCGACAGGTTTGATTTGGTTTTGTGTATCAGGCACGTAGACAATGCTCGATTAAAAGAGTTCTTCGCAGCACACGGTGAAGTTACCGACGCTCGTGTGATAAAGACGAAGGACGGCCGCAGCAGATGCTTTGGCTTTGTCGGATTCCGCTCTCCTGGTAATACAGTTCGTTATCTCGCTATCTATACTCTAGCGTATTACTTGTACTCCTCACTTCAGCTGAGGCTAAGAAGGCGTTGCGGGCAGTTGATAATACCTTCATGGACACGAGTCGATTGCAGGTAATTTCAGAGGAGGGTGTTGTCCTGGTAGCCTGTGGACTGCTACTATCATTGCTCAACATGTTTGCGGTCTCTATATAGGAGTAGTTGCCTTCTTTCAGGTGGCCATGGCCCTCGCCGCACATTCTACGAGGCTGCCGAGAGCGTGGAGCAAGTACTCCAAGGCGACGCAGCAATCACAGGAGGACTTGGCGGCTTCCGGCGTACACGGTACTGGAAAGTCTAGGGAGGAGCGACAAGCTGAGGAGACCAAGCGTCGGGATGCTGTCATTGCAGGGAAGGCGGAGGTACTGAGGGTTTACATTGGAGATGACCAAATGTGGTACTATTCTCCCCAACCTTGAGCGAAGGGGGAAAACCGCGTCGTGTGCGCATCGTCAGATGTCCTTGTCTATCGCACTGAGATGAGAGTGATGGTTCACTTGTTAGAAAGTGGAGCATGTCGGCGTACGGAGAGGCAAAGCTGGTGTTGCAAGCGTGCGGACCCATGTAGCGTTCAAGGACGACGATGATTCTTCTGACGAGGAGGAAGAGGACACTCCGGTCGAAGATGAACAGTAATGACATGTTACGCTGTCTACATATATGCAAATCATCGTGGTTATCGCTGTACTCAGACAAGACATCCAGACCTTGGATGTAGACGCCACTGAGGATCACCCCACTGCTGCCGAGAGCGGTTTTGGTGGAGGTGCTAGTGATATGGAGTAGGTGCAAGTTGTGTATACGTTGCTGACGGCATGCTGGGTTCCTTAGTTTCCTACGGAGTAAGATGGTGACGTCTGAGGGGGAGGAGAAGGATAGCGAAGCGAAGGAGGCAAATGACGAAGTAGTACTTTCACGACCATGGGCTCAGGTGGTCTGAGTTGTCGGTGTCTCATCCTCGACAACGACGAGCCTCTAGGACGACTCAGTTAGCTTAAATTTTGGAGTAGGGGATCTGAAGGGGAGGCATTTCAGCAGTTCGGGTTGTTCATTGGAAGAAATTTCTGTTGCGTCGACACCCTCAAACACTCTTTGATAGGATAACGAAGAGGATGAGGAGGGGTCGGAGGCAGCGGGAGACGATTCCGATGCCGTCCTGATGGACACTGCGAGGCTGTTGTTGGTCAACTTGCCGTACATTGCTACAGAGGATGATATCAAGAAGGCTTTCCAGTAGTAACTGGGCTCCTATACCTAGTGGAAGTCGTGGCACTCTCCGGGTGAAGTATCAAAGCGTATTTGCTGTTTGACAGTGTGGGATGATATGCACATGTTCAACTATGTGTTGCTGACGATATGAAATTCTGGTGAAATTTTGGGAAATTCTTACTGGTTTTTGAACGCTTCTCTATTCTAAGTCGTATATGAACTCCTATACTTATTAAAGGAACTCCTGAGCTCAGCTGAGGCAAGCGAACATGTGTTTTAAAACTGTTTCTTGAGCCTCTCAACAATGTGAACGTCTGACAAGGAGATTTGTGTGTTCAGGAAGTTCGGGTCTATTGAGGACGTGGTGGTGCTGCGGGATGAGGATTCGAAAAAGTAGTACCACGATTACTCTCTGGGTATTGACTGAGACTGCTGAGTCGGTGTGTTCGGCAGGTCTCGCGGTATGGCCTATGTGACTTATCTATTCCCGGAGCATGCCGTGCGAGCTAAGGCTGAGATGCATGGGAAAGTAAGCTTTGCAGGTCTCGGTGGATTCACTGTTGAGCTAACTTTCTAGCATTCCGCCTGATTTCCTGTGACGCGCATTGACACTTGCAGGTCTTCCAAGGCCGCGTACTGCGTATCAAGGCAGCACAGGCTCGACCGAAGAAGCATGTGGAACGGGACGAGAAACGCCTTAGTCGTAAGCAGGAACAACTGAAGAAGCGGAGGGAGAATGCGGAACAACATACGTGGAATTTGCTCTTCGTGTCTGCCAATTCGGCTGTCACCGCCGCAGCTAGCAAACTTGGTCTGAACAAAGCTGATGTAATACCAGCCTTTAGAACCTTGAGGAAGCACCTCACCGTGGGTCGCCGGTGTAGGTGATGGATGTAGAGGCCGACGACTTGGCAGTACGTGCAGCTGTTGGCGAGACTGAGGTCGTGAGGGAAGTCAAACAGTGGCTGAAAGAGGAAAGAGTCAGAGTGGACGCTTTCGAGAGGAAAGGTACTGATTGAGGTTTGGGGTTACAGTAGTGTGATGGAATATATCGCATGGGGTGGGGCTCTCAGGCACGTCGTTGTTGACCTCCAAGGCGACTACTTATGACGCTGAGTCACCTAAGCCTAAGGGGACGAATAAGGGGGAGAAGCCGCAGCTATCACGGTCGAAGGATACGCTCATTCTTAAGCACCTTCCGGCCGAGTCTGTTACGCTGGCAGAACTGAGGGCGGTGATTGGGAAATACGTCAGTGCGGCCAAGGATAGCGAGCATTCAGCTCTGCAGAAGTAATTGACGCCTGCAGCTTCCTTGTAGTGGATATGGTGCTGTTGTAGGTTGCTGCTAGCCCCGACTAGGACAGTCGCCATAGCTCAGTTTGTGGACCAGAAAACTGCTCAACATGCCTTCAAGAAACTCTCATATCGCCGATTCAAAAACGCGCCGCTTTATGTCGAATGGGCACCGGAGAATATATTCGAGCCGAAGTCGGAACAGAAGGGAGTAGGGGAGGAGACTCGCGATGAGCGTGAAGAGGCTGAGGAAGAAGTAGGGTGGCTAAGCTCACGTCTATTTGTCTGATTCTATGTTGGTCGGGCGCGTTGGTTCAGATTTTTTCCGGCATTCCGTTGATCCCCTAATTATCAGGTGTCCACTCCGATGGAAGGGGTAGAGCATGAGACAGTTGAAGTGCAGGAGCAGCCGAGGAGTGCATCGAAGGAAGAGGAAGAAGAAGCTGTCCAGGAGGAGGAGGAAGAGGAAGAGGACGGTGCTGGTAGTGTCAGTGTGTTCGTTAAGGGTTTGAGCTTTGACACCACTGAGGAGGTGGGTTGCGGCGGTTCAGCTCGAGTCACATCTCTGCACCGAGTGGTACCTTCAGACACTCCGGGAGCACTTCAAGAAACAGGCAGGTTACATCAAGTGCAGTATTTCTCGAAAGACTATGCCTGATGGCCGCCAGCTGTCCATGGGCTTCGGCTTTGTCGAGTTTAAGAATCACAAGGGTAAGTACGGCTGAAATCTCGCTGTGAACCATGTTTGTTTTCTTGATGGCATGATGATTGTGTCACTGACTTGAGGAACATCTTTAATGATGTATGTTGTTCCTCAGCTGCAAAGGAGTGCATCAAGCGTCTGCAAGGGAGTTCACTTGACGGGCGAACGTTGGAGCTGCAGATAGGTAGAGGAGGCAAGGCCGGGGGTGGGAGCCAAAGCAAGATAGGCCAGGCTGGCGTCACTAAGGCGGATACGAAGGGGGCTACTAACAGGTAATGAAGTAGAGCAGATTAGCTTGCATCAAGTCTGATCAGGCTATGTGTTCGAAATGTAGCTTTCGAGGCATCACGTAGAGACATTCGGAAGCTGTTCTCAACCTATGGCAATGTTGTGGCAGTACGCATGCCCCTTAAGGTTGATAGGTAAGGACCTCAGCTCCTTGTTACTATCGTCATTGCTTCCGATCAGGAGCGGTCATCGAGGATTTGCTTTTGTCGAGTTCGTATCGAGATCGGAGGCCCTCGCTGCGATGGAGGCATTACAGCATACACATCTTTACGGAAGGAGGTGAGCTCTTTATGGTATGTGAGCATAGAAGAGGTATATGTCATCATAGACTCGTGCTGGAGCCAGCTGCTCATGAGGATACTTCGATCGAGACCGCGAAGTTGAAGCAAGATATGAAGGATGAGAGGAAGCGCCATGAGAAGATGAACGAGTCGGCGAAGCGACGGAAAATAAACTCGCTCGAAGAGTAGCTCTATGAAGGCCCGCCGGAATTTGGCACAATCGCCCAACGTCTGTTCACGTAGTGTTTCTACTGTTACTTGTACTAAACGATATTCACGGACCCAAAGTTCCGAGTTCATCAACTTATCGGAGTATCATTTACTGGGTATCTGTTGGAGCTACAAAGGGACGCCTTCATAATGGGTGACCAGCCTCATGCACATACGACGTTGGAAAGGCGATGGGGATTTTAAGACCGCGAGAGAGGGCGTAAAGATTTTGATTCATCAACTCCCGTCGCCTTACAAAGCGCTGGTGGGTTCTGTGACAATCGCAATGATCATAATTCTCCATTGCCAGAAAAATCGGTCTTTGTCGATGTGAATACTTCGCCAAATTTAGTTCGGCACAATGCCTCCATTTATGCATCTTTATTTTCCGGAGCCCGAGGTGCTTACTACCATATCTATAATGGATATTTCGAACGCAAACTGAAGGCGAAGAGACTGTGCGTTACCAGCATTAGAAAGACATAGTTGATAAGATATCGAGGTGTCTGTCTTCTCCAGTCATTAAAAAAATACTCTCAAAATTTTGCTAGTTGGACTTGAACTGCGGCCTCCCAGCAGCTCGTAGCGTGTTTTCGACATCCGAGCTGTTGTTGAGCTGACCAATTCATCGTCGAGTTGCGACTTCCGTATAAACCTCATCCAAAGCAGTGCAGAAGTGGTCGACATCTTTCTTAGTGATGCACATTGGAGGCGCTATCCTGAAGATGTTTCCGTGCGGGCCGGCACCACCAATGAGGAATCCCTTCTCCTTGAGGCGGTTCCACGCCCATTTCATATCACGGGCAGCAGAATCACCAATGTGCTCAATGCCGATCAGCAGACCGGCCCCTCGAATGTCTCCAATGAATGACGAATGCTTCACCTATTCACAGAGAATAGGAAGTTCATATTGGAATTGAGTGATGCTCACCTTGAGATCCCCAAGGCAACTCAAGAGATGATCACCAACATGTCGGCAGTGCTCCATCAACTTCTCGTCATCGATGATTTTGAGTACTTCCCGCCCGACTGCCGTCTGCACGAGCCCTCCACCGTAGGTATTCTGAGTGAGCGATACTCAGTGATCTGTTCTGCTAGAAGGGGAAGGAGGGGGGGCGTGACCCACGAAAAAAGTTTTCCTTCCCAGCTCGTTCATAACGTCTTCGCGTGCTGCGACGGCTGCCAAAGGCATACCATTGCCGATGCTCTTAGCCATAGTAACGATGTCCGGCATAACTCCTATACGGAAATGAGAGCCATCCTTGGTGGATTAAGGAGCATACCGTGATTCTGAAACCCCCAGAAGTTGGTTCCTGTACGACCAAAGCCAGTTTGAACTTCATCAGCAATGCAGATTCCTCCCGCAGCTCTGATGCGTTCGTAGACGCCTATCAGATACCTGTCAAGGACGTTGGAAAACCTCTCACATGTACGGAGGAGCGACAGTTCCTACCCTGGAGGTAAGGTGATGAGTCCTCCAACTCCCTGTGTGGACTCAGAAATATAGGCGGCCACCTGAGACGATGTATCGGTCTACTGAGGAAGCCTCATTCCCTAACCTGTCCATCACTGATGCAGGAGTCGAGGTGGTCGGCCAGATCATTGAGATGATAGGTGACGATGTCCTCCACGGAAGCGTTGGGACCAAGCCTCGAGTTATAACTATCATACGATACGATGGAGCCGTACCAAGGCAGTAGTCACTTTGGGAGGCTTACACTTTAGGAACAGCCAAGTGGTCCACCCCGAAGCCTGCGGGGACTTGATGCTTGTAGAAGCCTGCAATGACGACGACTGATGCTAGCGGTCTATCCACGGTCTCTTCCTCTTCCTCCTCCTACCTACTGCCGTTATACCCTGGGTACCGGAGGTCATACCATGGTACCCATTGCGAAGAGCTATGATGGGCCATCGTCCTGTGTATAGTCTCGCGAGCATAACGGCTAAGTCCTGAAGTGGCAGTGGCCTCTCTTCAACACAGCAGAGGGGTTACATTGGCCTCTGATCCAGAGTTGACAAAGTAGACCTTCCAGCTCTTCCCATCGGGTCGTGGGGGAAGGCGTTCGACCAACTCCTTAGCGTATAGAGTCTACATCACACGGTCAAGGCAATGAAGGTGGCTCCATGGATTTTACTGGCTCTGGATGGGCATAGATTGGTGAAGTGTGCACGAGCTCCGAGGCCTGCCGCTGTATAACCTCCGTTATGCGAGGGTGGCAGTGGCCCACAGAGACTGTCACTATTCCACCAAAGAGATCTGAAGAGAGATAAGGCAAGTGGCACTTAATACAGCGCCTCACCGAGATACTTGCGATTGCTGTCGTCATAGAGGTATTGCATGTGTCCTTTGGTGATGACGAGAGGTTCACTGAGGACAGTACATGAGATGGTTTATATGGGAGGTAGCAGGCGGCCTACTCGTAAAGGGTGGTGAGGGGTCCGTGGTACTGTTGCCTCATGGAAAGTATCTCTGAGCGTGAGTAGCCACCAGAAGCGGTGGCAGTGGAGTAGAATACGCGAGGGGATGATCCCCATGATGATGTGAAGAGCGCTCTCCTTGTTATGATGGACATCAATGCATATACATAAGACGCTCTGTGAAAGCATATGTCCCTATTGACCTCCTACTCCGGATCCCCAAGTCTTACAGGCCATTCAACATACTGGAACGCGGTCTGGCCAACTGTTCAATGAACAGTGTTCATATGCCGGCGGTGGTCGATGGTCCGATGGTGCGTGGAAATCCTGGTCTGCACGCATATTGCGTCCTATGAGAGAAAAGCAAGATTGCAAGTATGCAAGATTGCGTGTTGAACGCATGATCCGTTACGTGCGTGTTAACATCATGTAATGTTTCTATTGAAACCCCTATACTCTAGTTATGATCGCCTTGTCATCTCGTAAGGGTCCTCACATGCTGGGCGGCTCTGCTGTAGCAACGTGCCTGAGGACAGCGTTAGATGGGGTTGGTATATTTCCGAGTGCGACCAATGAGGACGTCTGCAGCTACATTTATCTCACTTTAATGACTACTACCTTTACTAGGAGCTACAGTGCGGCTCCTGCCGTGTACGGCGGAAGATACAGAGACTACTGGTGAGCCGCTGGGAAGAGCCTTGTTCGGAACTTATTGGTTGTCAGGCGTGGTGGAAACGACGCCAGCGAGAGGAGTCAGTCGAGGGGAAGGTCGCAATGGAGGACCTTCAACCGGGACTGGGATACCTGGGATAAGAAGGGATACTACTACTCCTATTACGGCAGCAGCGATCGCAGTCCATCTCGTGGTCGCTATGGCTCGTGGAGTCGCTACTACGGCAAGACTGATGATGACTGGTACAGTTATAAGGACTACTCTAATGAGGGGTATTGGGTCGGCAATTGGTGGTACTGTGGCGATGGCGACTGGTATTGGAGTCGTGATACGGGTTATATTAAGTGGAAGAAGGAAGAAGAGCAGGAGGAGAGAGATTACTATGATGATGGTACCGCGCCTATTTGTGGTGTCCTAGTTGACTGTAGTTTATTCACTGCAGATTATAATAAGACCTCTGACTACTGGGAATATACTGCTGAGACACCCAAGAATGACTGGACTGGAGAGCAGTGGGCTGCGCTAGAGGACCGCCAAGGAACTTGGTGGAATAGTGAAGATTGGAATAAGGGGTAGGGAATCGTATGCTTTGACAGTGATTGCACAGCATAGTAGATATTATTACGACTATGGTAAGAGCGGTGAGAACAGCGATGGGCACTGGGATGGTCGTGTTGATTATGGCTGGCATCTGAGCTCTAAGTTCCCTAGGGCACCCAAGACTCTGGACGAACAGTAAGGCCAGCTATCACTCTGTTCACAAGGTCTTTGGTCAGTTACGAACCTCATGAAGACGTCGGGACGCCAGGTAATCCCTATATCCCACTTAGGGACTCTGCTGAGGTGTCTTGGACCCAACCGTCGCTATCGCCCCCTTCGGCTGAGCCCTCGATGCAAGAGCAACATCCAATAGCTGTTGCAGAGGAAACAGTATGGCGGCTCACTTGTGGGGGGCGGTGGTGGTGGCGGTCCCCCCATAGCATTGCCTATCGCTACTGCTCAGGTGGTAGAGGAGACTGGTACGGTGCCAGGGGAGGAGAACAGCCGAATGAACAGTGAAGAGGTTGACAAGAATGAAGAAGTTGGGTGTTAGTTATTTCATATCATCAATATGATTATTATGCTTTTTGGAGATGTTTGACGGTACATTATTGTTCTTGGAGGAGCTGCATTTGCTCGCCCATTTCGGCCTCGTATTGTGCGAGCGTTCGAGACCCCTAAGAATGGTGCTATGGTCATAGCAGTGTTGGGTTCCTATAGTTGGTTCAGGGTGTGTAGCTCATGATCGCTGGCAAGCTTACGCGAACCGGTCTAGACTATCGGTGGTGGAAGCTGCTGGTGGGCAGCATAGTAGCAGAAAAGCAATGGATCGGCCAGGGTGTGCTTTGTTTATGTTCGATGTGAGGTGAATTCTGATTGAGAGCCATATGATGGTGCTCAGTACACTCCAGGGTGGCCGAATAAATGCGCTGGACAAAGCGAGGAGGGATCTGACCCAGATCACTTTAGGAATCTTTTCCATAAGGTTGTGAAAGCTGTCTCTCGGAATTGATGTTCTCGTCGGCGAAATTGTTCTCTTTGATCATGAAAGTTGAAGTTCTTAGCCGTGAAACTGAAATCTCCTCACTGAACTAAGTTCATTGTTCGCCAACATGATGCAAATTTCGTATATGTGAAGCATAAAGGCCGACTAGCGTCCTTAGTCAGTTATAACTTTGAACCTCGGGCATAGCGGCCGTTCTGTTCGGCAAAAAGATTCCTGGATGATATAGTCCTCTGGCATACCGGCCACCCTATCCGGCAACTAGATTCCTGGATGGTATAATGCTCGGGCATACCGGCCCCCTATTCGGCAACTAGATTCCTGAATGGTGAGTCCTCGGGCATAGCGGCCCCCTATTCCGCGAATAGACGCCTGGATGGTATAGGCCTTGGGCATAGCGCCCTCCTGTTCGGCAATCAGATTCCTAAATTTTATAGTCCTCTGGCATAGCGGCCCCCCGCCCATTGTATCAGCTAGGCTTATGTTCGTCATCATCATTACTAGCAGTGCCCAATACCTCTAATGACCACCACCACCATCCCCCCCTCTTCCTCGGTCTTCTCCTTCCTCACCTGGAACGTCTTACACACAGCACACTATCAACGGCTATTGGCTGATCCTACATTTAATAACCCTAAACGGAGGTACTACTAATTCAGGCAGTTACGGTAGAGTACTCTTATTATATTCAGAGCACTAGCGCCCTCGGCTCGACAAGTGAACCTCACCAACCATCTGCTGAGGCTCAACGCTGATGTGGTGGCTCTGCAGGTGATGCTACTGTCATTGAGTGATACCTTCGATTTCGGGTCGGAGATCCTTTGCAGGAGCTGGATGTGAACACCCTGCCTACCGTCAAGGCCACCCTCGAGTCCAAAGGAGGCTATCGAATGGTATCTGCAATGATCAACGAGACAGTTCAAGCTAAGGTGCTGGCTCCTGGTGTCTATGCAAGGGCTTCAAGGTTGCTCCTTGATAGGACGGCTGTGCCATTTTCTGCAAGGCCGACCGCTTCGAGCCTCTGGTCACAACTGAATTTCGTATGTGCCATGCTCTTGACAAATACCTTCACTCATTGACTCAGTGCCAGAGTGGGCTCGGAGGAGCGCTGTAGTGGTGCTGGGATCACTGTGTCACATCATACATAGGTCGACCCTCGGTAGATACAGAGAGACTCGGGAAAAGCTCAACCTGTGTGTCGCCGCCTTATTGAGGGATCGGCTAACTGGCTGTGACCTCGTGGCGGCAACTACTCATTTGTTTTGGAGCCCAAAGTAGGGGTAGCAGAGTATCGGTCGTGTTGTTGGAATTTCATATCATTCAGCTATCGTTGTCAGATTCCCAGATATAAAGCTGTTACAGGCCTACCTACTGTCACGTCAATTAGAGGACTTCATAAGCGACAATACACCAGGTGCGAACACGAGTTTTTTAACGGCATGCTTCCGGAGCGTGACACTACCGTTCGTGAAGACTGTTCACTCCTGCGGCCACTGTAGTGTGGTCGGTCTGCTTCACGCGAACCCTGACTTGAGCGTGCCGTTTCCATTGCGGGTTTTGGGACTGCGTGAGTCGGATCAACGCGCACGCTATCTGCTGCGTAAAGCTTTCCCGACGTTATCAAAACAGGGCACGATGCGTCGTTTTTATGTTGGCAATTTCGGCCTCCAATAGTATTTCTCGATCAATCTGATGACTGTTATGTTATCCCGTTGTCCAGGTGACCCGTTCGTGAGCCCACCAGCTGTGATACTTGGCGGTGATTTCAATAGTACTCCTCCTAACAGTGCCGTGTAAGACTCGATGCAAGGCTTGGCTCGGGAGGTGTGCTCTACTCAGCATTCGGTGAAGTACTATCGCTGTTTTCTGTGGGCATCAGGTGTGTCTGTGAGGAATCTTGCTGTTCATTATTCTCCGCTCTGGAGTGGTTTTTTCGTCTTAACTACGATTCTCAGTCTAGCGCAATACAATTCTTAAACCTCGCCACTCGTATCAATAAGGAGTTTTAAGAGTGTCTTCATGCTGCATAGTTGCGATGCTTTCAGTTATGAGCTCCTTACCAAGGCTTCAGTCCAGCCCGACCACCCCGAGCATCCCGTATCGCTACGGCCAGGGAACAGAATAGTAATCACCGCACTCCTCCCAGGCTCACATGAAGGCTCGCTTGTGTGGGCGTCATTAACTCCATGACGAAGCGGTTCCATTATGTTGTTACATTTTCCTTCTTATCAATATTATGAGATTGACATATTGCATCGATCAGATCCCTGGTGTGCCTGAGGAAGCCGTCGGCTCACTCCGGCTACAAACAGGGCCTTTTATGAGCTCTATTGCGGCGCTGCAGGGGATCGAACCCGAGTTCACTAATTACACGCCAACTTGGAAAGGCTGTCTGGATTATGTTTTTTATAAAGAGGGACGCTCTAAATTACAGTGTGAGGAGTGTGGGAGATTTAAGCGATGTTGCTAGACGTAAAATCTTACGCCTCAGGCGTATATAAAAAAAGAGCGCCTATAGTTTTAGATTGCAATTGTATTCTTGCAGTAGTAGGTTACTGGATCAGGCGTACGAAAGAGGGCACCATATCTTCGAAGGTGTCCAGTTTACAACTCCTAGCAACATCCTTGGGAGGTTTCCCAGCATTCGTCTGGCTCAACGCCCTCACTCCCTACTCTGATTGTTTCTCCGCTCTTGCGTTATATTGATCTGTTACATGAGATCGTCGTCATCCCACTGGAGAAATGAGTCATCACGCGTCACGTGTAGTCGTATGGTGATGAGACGATGAGTGTGTATTGTAATGTGAGGCTTTAGGTGTCTCGATGGATCCTCTTCCGAGCCTAGACGTTCTAACCAAGCAAGGCACGTTGCCCAATTCCGACATTCCTAGTGACCATATACCTTTGAAGGTGTACTTCCGATGGCATGATGATGATGTTGGGTCAAGTTTCTGAATCCACCATTAACTATCATCTTGTGTTAGTCAGTGGCGACTCTTGGTGGGTGTCAAAAACAATGTGAGAGATGGCACTGAGACTTCCATGTAGAAAGAATTCTATCATGACTGAACTGTTCGTGGCTTCCTCAGTGATCCAAATAGGATTCTCACTAAATGAGTAGTCTTTAGTCACTGAAAAGTGAGCGAATTCACCCTAGAGTATAACTTCATTAAATGAGAGCCTATGTCGTGGCGCTTCCATTCGTCTCTCCTCTCGTTGCTGGCGATTTCGTGTGGAGTTTATCTGGTTCATCTGGCGGGCGGTGGCGGCTGACACAGCACGGTAATGCTTCTTTCCAGGAGGTAGAGGCAATCGTCCCAGGGCAGGTGAGCTGCTCATGAAGCCTGGATCTCGATGAAGATGTTTAGGTGCATTTGGACCTCTGGCGATCTCATGTTATACCCGACCCTTACTATGGCTACAACGATACAGCGTAGGAGTGCTAATTGACCATTCACTGTGTGTCACCTCTTTCAGATTGAGGTATGTTGCTGAGGCAGACTGGCTATATTCGACCAAGTTCGCAGTCCCTCGTGAGGCCTGTGATGAGGCGAAGGTGTGGTATTCTACTGCACTCGGTATTAATGAGCTCGGCAGGTCTCTTTACCTGCGACGATATTTTTCTATGGTATCGATACTGTGGCTGACGTCACTCTAAATGGATGTCCGATTTTGAGTGCTGACAACATGTTCAGGACATACAACGCTACTATGAAGCGTGGACAGCTTCTTTGTGATAGAGACAACGAGGTAGGCAGGCAGGGCCCTGGTGGGAAGTATTAGATGATTTATATCTCTCAGATGTCGGTGTTATTGAAGAGCCCAGTGAAGACGGCTAAGGAGAGGGCAGAGACTTATGAGAGAAAACATTCTGATTGGTCGATCGGAGTGCCGCCGCGCGAACTGCCGGCCGTATGGAACGGTTTCGATAGAGTGCAGATGGTAGGGTCAGCACTAGTGTTTAGTTCGTCTTTCTCTCATCGCGGTGTGAGAATATATGTATATAGTCAACTACATGTGTTGGTAACAATATGGAAATTCTTAGGCAATTTAGTGAAATTATCGTTGGTTTTTGTACACTTCCACCCGAAATCATGTGTATGGATTTTCATAATACAGTGAGGCAACTCATGAGCTGAGTTTAGGAAAACCAAATATATATTCCCACACTGCTTCATCGGTTCTCCCTAGGGTGGTATTATTAGTTACGTAAAGAGCCATGCTCCTTCGGGTGGGATTGGGGTCCTGGTCTAGCCACTAGTGGTATATGGAAGGATGTTCAAGTGGTGACTCATCAGCTGGAGAGGGGAAGGTCACTGACTGTCGAGTAGGATGCTGCCACTTTTGGGGAGGAGACATTCATTGTGGATGGTGACTCAGGGGAGTCACTTGGGACGTGAAGCCTATCAGTGTCACTAGGCTTGATGCTTGGCAGGCTAACGTGCATATATCATTGGCTCTTTCCCCTGATATACAGGTTGACCGAGTCAGTGTGGGCATCACTCTGGTGGATGGATCATCGGTGAATACCCATTATGTGGTGGGGTGCTTCCGTCAGCTTGATGTCGTGTTTCTAGACACCATTGTATGAAGGCTCGTGGGCGAATCTTCGTATCGAGGATCTGCGGCCTGGCTCGAGATCGGGAGTCAACTTCACAATACTTGATGGAGTGAAGCCTTGGTGGCCGAATGGCTATGGCGATCAACATCGGTGAGGTGTCTGCTGGGCGAACTAAGACTCATTAGAAGGGCGCTGTTGGTAGTATTGCTGATTACAACTGTTGGTAGTGTTGCTGATTACGACTGTTCGTAGTGTTGCTGATTAGAACTGTTCGTAGTGTTGCTGATTACAACTGTTCGTAGTGTTGCTGATTAGAACTGTTCGTAGTGTTGCTGATTACAACTGTTCGTAGTGTTGCTGATTACAACTGTTGGTAGTGTTGCTGACTAGAACTGTTCGTAACAGTCGGCATTGAAGCAAGGCTCATATCAGTTACACGTTGAGTGTGTGTGCATGGGCCGGCGATAAGGGTGATGCGTGCGAGGGCGACAAAATAACGGTGGGATTCAAGACGGTTGATTTGGTCATGGAAGAGGACGGTCAGATCTCCTCAGGTGTCTCTGCTTATCTCTCTCGTGATTGCTCAGATTATGGAAGATCTTTCTACTTCAAGCTCAATGGCGAATCTATTTACGCTAGAGGGGCGAATTGGATCCCGGCTGATGCCTTCGAATCTCGTGTTGATGAGTCCAGACTGAGGAAGCACTTCGAGCAGTAGGCTACACGCGAACTTTAACGGTTTGTGGTTGAGTACCTATACAGGTACCGGAAAGCCCACTTTAACATGCTGAGAGTGTGGGGAGGAGGAGTATATGCTTCTGACCTGTTCTATGAACTGGCTGATGAGTGAGCCGCCAGGCGTTAGGTCGTCATGATAGTGGACCAGTATTAGTGGTAGCAATACTTATAGATAGTAGCGGTAGTGGTAGCAATGCTCATCTGTCGACGGAATTGGGAGAGTTCTTTCTTCCCTTGAAAGGGCAGTCCTAGTAGTTCTCTGTTACCAACTATAACAGAGACCGGTGGAAATACTAGTATAAGACTTCCTTCTCTTTGGTCAGTACGTACTACCGGCTCTCTGGGTGTATCTCCCACCGAGAATCGTCGTAATGCCTCATGCAGGTATGGTTTCCTTATTTGGGAAGAAGCCATGTTCGCTGGTGCGACCTATCCAACTCTACTCCCCGGGTTCTTAGCTTCCGTCGAGTTAGAGATCAGTCAGAACCTCATACGAATGTAAGATAATGTAAAAGTCAAGGAGGCCGAGAAGTGCTGTTGTGTAGTGGCCATCATCCATCCTTGGCGATACTCGGGGGCAATAATGAGGTTGAGGCCTTCTATGGTTGGGTCGGCATCACTGATGATAAAGTGTAAGTCTAGGGGATATTACCCTGATTACTCGATCAAGTTCACGGAGGAGTGGTATTCAGATACCTTGAAAGTTATGCGGCACTGTTTTTCGACACTATACTGGCTACATCGAAGAAACTACTACCATGGTTACCCGCTATTCCTAGTAGCCCTTGGAATGGTGATGAGACAAGGCAGAACCCGGTTGATGATAACCCGGGCAATGAGACTTCTGGAGACGTACGAGCTGGTTCTTCTGGCCCGGATGATAGTAGCTATTTCAGATTCATTTCTACAACTACTTCTCGCCCAACATGTTTGACCTGAGGAAGCTGCCGAAACCGCGTTTCATGAGCGAGTTTGGTTTTCAGTCTTGGTCTAGTCTTGGAGAGCTGAGAACAGTGGCTGATGAGGAGATGCTGGAGGAGAGTCTCTTCTCTGAGGATCCTAGTAAGAATGTCCGGATTGTCCGATGTTTTCGAATTTTCGGTCTTTGGAGCCATCCACCGTTGATGGCTTACTATATCTGAGCTGGCTGGTTGAGTGTCGGGGTCGGTCACGGAAATATTTCGAGCGTTAATTAGGATGTGACGCGCTACATTCCCAGTTGGGACTCACGTCTTATTGATCATTGCCTAGACCTGAGCGACTACTTCTCACAGTCACTGTAATATAGTGAGCTGCTGCAATACAGCTTACGCTGCCAGAGACTACAGGGTGATGATGGTGACCGAGTCAATACACTTCAGAGGCTCATTGGCGATATGTCCAGTGTGTGGGCTGCCATGGAGTATTACATTGGAGTGATGCATCATCGCCTTACGAGGGGTTGATTAGCCTCGACCGTCCACTCGTTGATAAATTCGATAACTTGGCTCACAACTGCTAGCAGCTAGAGAGAGCTCTACGTTGCGCAGGGACCGAGCTATATCTTGTGCGAAAACCAGCCGGAAAACGTGGTCGGGAAGCACGCACCAAGAGTGCGTACCGAATCGTGTCGATCCTTGTTCGAGTCTTTGGTTGTTGAGACTGAGCGGTGTCGCCAAATCCTTTACTTCGTACAGTGTATCTGATATATGGAAGAGAAATCTCTGAGGGAAAGGCCAAAGACGATGTGGGTGAAGAGGAGATGTGTTCACTTTTCTTAGAGACCTGGCCATTCCACCGTCAGCATCTAGTTAATGGTGGCTCATATCTACGTAACTACGTTGACTACATGTTCGGCACGGAGCGCGGACAAAGTGCGAAAGCTTTTTGTGTTGAGGGGACAGCTCGCTCAGGAATTGAGTCTATGGAGTTGAGAAAAGCTGAAGCATATCTATCTCAAATTATTCAAGGGATGTGGCTGAAGTTGGTCGTGGAACATTGCCGGAGACTACAACCATACAATATGGGGCTACTGTGAGTCTTCGATTTTCCAAGCAGTGTGACGTTGGATGCACTCATTTGAATCATCCGCGTTGAATCGTTACATGGACTTCTGTCCGGCAGTTTTGGTCTCCTCTGAGAGTGGCGCTCGGCGTGGTATGGAAGTATTTCTGTTATCAGATATTGGCAAGCGAATGACATTTGGCCGACGGTTAGCTGGTCGACTATCGAATATTCAGGCCGACCAAAAGTGGCTATGACCATGGCACAATCGTTTTATAACCTCAGCGAACCTACGATGTTCTTCAACTACTCTATCAGCCCGCCCCTATTCTGCGTACAAGCTTCCACGGAGAGTTGTGAGGTGAGGATCTTCAATCTCCTTACCCAGAAGGATGTCGGTCAACCATGGAATTTGGGCCCATTGGAGTTGCGCTGTGCCGATGTGAATGACAGTTGTGGTGACGGGCAGTGTGTGGCCTTCTCTGATCGCCATAATTATCTGATACTCGGAAGTATGGCTAAGTTCCCGACTTCTCATATCACTCGGTTCGCCAGAGGCACACTGCAGGTGTACAAGGGCTTCATAACTTCACAATTTGCGGTGCCTTTTGTAGAGCTGGAATGTGACAATACGTGCGAGGAGAACCATCTGTGGTTACTTCCTAATCAGCGTGTTTGGGTGGGTGAGGATGTCAGAGTCGTGAATAGCCTGTGGCTTGCACTTGAATCGTATAGAGTGGGGCCTGGGCAAGATGATGTGATAGTCTTTTGACCACCGTAGTTTTATAAGTCCATATCGAGCTCATTTATCAGCTCTTTTGTTTGGTAACAAGTCTTCTCGAGAATCATTGACATATATGGGGAAGTGAGCTAAGCATACTATGTTCGGAATCTAATGTTTCTTAGTTGGAAATATGTTTGCGTGAAGTGGTATTCCATTCTGAACTGGACAGCTGAAATTATATTTTTCACATTTGTAATGGTACTTTGCCGAGAACCGCACTACGTTCACGAAAGGGCGTGGAATTGGTCAACAGGAGAGAATTGAGTGTTTCAAGTAGTTACAGCAAACACCTATCGAGTCATCTGTTGTGGTGGGGTAAGACATCCCTCAGTTCGTGATGGAGTTGGGCGTCTGGCTCGCTCTCTACACTACTTCGATGGAGCAATGGTACACTGTTCTGAATCAAGGGTGATTCGGTAGTGAGGACTGTATACGACAAGACGAGCGCCGCGGAGGGCATGACCAGCAGACGAGGAATAGATGGACCGTCCTAAGCATCGCTGATGGCCTTGTGAATCTTACTCTGGACGTTGCCCTACGGCGGCTAGAATACGTTGTTGCAATGCTCGAGGCGTGATAAGGGAGGCATCATCTGTGGTATGAATGGTGAAGATGTTTGAAGTGGTTTACCGTGGTTTGCCTTGTGGGGAAGCTAGAGTCTTGCATGCTGCTGCTTTTTAGTGAAGTTGTGGAGGATCCGTGTAGAAGATTTGTTTTATGAGTGGTGATGAAGCTCTGCTCGTCATGCAAGGTCCCAGCGGTACCTGCACTGCGCCTCATTGGATGCCTGATCAGGTGCTGGTAGCACCCGCCAGTTGGGGCCTCTGCTCACACGTGGGACAATTCTTGTGTGCTGGCTTGGCTAGTTTATTGTCGCTGAGCGCTCCACAGAATGGCATAGCGAAGGGCTGTGGTGTTGAGCTATGTTTTGTTAGATAGTAGGTAGAGGGGATCATCTAAGGACAGCGAGGAGTTCTGTGATGAGAGCGTGAACGGAATGAGTTAATATTGCGTACATGGGAATTAATTTGAAGATTCATGCGGGCTCATGCGACTGCTGTGAGCATGGATGTGACTGGTTGTGTTGAGATGCCAGAGACGATCTTTGAATGATTAAGCGTGAAGTGTTGTTTTCATAGTATCAAGAAGTAATCGAATAACTGCGATTCCAGTGGGGGACATTTTTAGATGATAGGCAGAGTGGTGATTTGCAGGATCAAGACTCCCCACGAATGGACGTACAGAACCGACAGCATCTGAGTGGAGGCGGCAGTTTACCTTCATGCTGATAGTTCTCATGCTAACCTTGTGTATTCATATAGTCGACTTCCGAGATGGCCTAGAGTCTTGCATTGCTAACCCTACGCGGGGCGTGTCTTTCCTGTGTGTTTTCTTTATCAACATAGTGTTGCTACGATGTGAAGCCATTCGTTCTGCTGTGTAGTACATATTGAGTGAGGGAGTGATTCAAGGGGAGTGGGATGTACCCAGCATCACTACGATCTTACTCTATCTGCTGTGGAACGGAGCAAAATATCACTAGCAAATTTGAGAGCAGTTTTCATAAGTCCAAGCTGATGCACGGTGAAATCAAAACAGATAGGATGTTGCTAGAAGCTGTCCGGATGTCTCATATCTTGGAATACTTAAAGTCGATGGTGACGTTAAGAGTGAGAGGGAACCATCGAGGTCGGTTCGACTTGAATGATGAACCCCTTGACTAACCCTTCTTATGTAACCTCATCGTGTCTGGGTCGGGAATACTCAACGAGGATTGACCGCCTCCAACAGTTGACTCTTGGTAGGCTGTTAGTATATGCCAGGCTTAGCGGTCTCGAGATATCGGCCATTGACGGGCATCGAAGGGAGAGAGAAGCGCATCGTGGAAGTGGAACGGCGGAATGATACCGACGCGGTG